ATGGAATCGTTAAGGATCTCTATTGATATAGCTGGATGATCATTAATGTTAAAAAATTTGAATCGGACGAAAAAATGGGCAAATATTGCCATCGCACCGTACAGAATCAACATCTATCATCTGGAATCATCATAGGTCACTTCATTTCATCTGCACAATCGGGTCAACCTATCGAACGACGATAACAGCCTACAAAAAATGGTCCATTAAACAGCCGAACCTCGATTTGAATCTGTACTTCAAAAAAAAACAATGCGACGCAATACCGAAATCTTTTAACTTAATGAGTCTACAGCGAACGAGCGATTTCTATAAATTGTCATTCTTATTCGATAAGTTATGGGGGATATCAATGTGATGGTCGACAAGATGCTATGAAGGGTCGATTCATATTTGCGGGGAGTTTTTATATGTGTACATCGTTTTAGAGCTTGTACATTTTGAAAAATACTTGTTACTTCACCGCCTCCGATTTTAATTCCCATTGCCTGAACAGAGAGGTAAGAAGTTACACACAAGCTTTGTTAATGGCATGAAGTAACACAAACGCAGCATATAAACCATAATTAGAACGATACATCATATTCACAGGAGCACGTAATACCTGAAAATATGAACTGGGATCGCCCATCGGGATGCTGAATAAATTGGGTCAACACTGATTCGTCAAAACACCAGTAACAGTGCGTAGCTTAAAAGAATTAAGACTTATACGAAAATCGGCAAAAATTTGCTTGAGGGGTTTAGTTAAAAATTTACAAATGTACTGCAAGGGACTGGTAGTATTCTAACGAAGGGCAAATTGTTCTCGTGCCTGTCCTATTGGTTGAACATCACCAATTCAAAAACTCTAAAAAACATATCGGGAACGGACTAATTACCAGTGACGTCAAAAATCAGTCGCTGACGCCTCTAGACCCGTGGACGGGTGGCCGCGCCACAGAAACTTGAACGTACATTTTTCCGTTCACATGGGACCGTTCCAAGATAGAATTTTCTCCCACTATTCGGGGGTTACTAATTAAAGCAAAAAATTATTTCAGGCTCTAACTATCGATTCTAGAGGGCGACTACTCTTAACAATCGACGTCCGAAGCTTTCGATATCTTTCAATTTACCTTCACTGAAGGTTATACCACCACCGTTGCCTAGTACCCATTAAAATGTGCGGAAAATACAGAGATTGACAGTGCACCTCTCAATCTGACTGGATGCGCTAAGCGCTTGGTCGTGTTAACGTACGCCCTATTCCCGAAATTCCCTCATAGTCATTAACTATTCGTTAGCAGAAGTTTATAAGGATGATAAGACAAAAATGTACACCTTTTAATTTACACACCTTAATTTAATAACACCTTACAATTTTTCTGATTCGAAGTTTAAAGTTACTCGAAGCTTATCAGTTGATATTTGAGCATATTTACCCCCGTCTATGTGGATGACGCCAAGAGCCACCACACCGTTCTGCTCTGGCCATTGACTCAGTGGTGTATACATGCTTGGCAAAGGTGACGAACGTTTCTCCTTGTCCCCTCTGCAGATCTACCGCACCTGAATCTCATAGACAGCGATGGAGCTCCTGGTCTACATACATAATATTTGGGCTAGCTTCGTCGCATTATCTTTTTTCTCATAGAGAAATTCTGCTTGAATAATTCAAGTTTAAGGTAGCCACAATCAGTCATAACGTGGCCACTACGCCGAACACTCGCAACTCTTAGTTGAACGTTTTTTGCCAGCTCGCCTTGCTCTGCCTTATATTCTTCCCCATCCTACTTGTACATACTCAGCTTTGTTAAAACAGATGCTGTAACTTCTACTTAAAAGGACATAAGTTTAGAAGATGATCTCAATGCGCAAAGGCTATTCGATTGGGGCGTGTTCAAAGCTATTGAAACTCATAATTGTAGCCAGTAGCAACAGGATGGTTGAGATATTTTTTGATGTAGTCAAAGCTTTTATGATCCTGATTCATTTGGCACTGCTTCCACCTCGGAATCGCTGCCTGCCCTTATGCAGCTTCCCTGTGTTAGCGAAAATATGTTTGTCTCTCCTTTATGGAAACGCTCTTTTATAGATAGACGAGCTTTTACTGACGGCGCTACACACACCCTTAGCTTAATGAGCTCCGCTTTGGTCCTTTTCTTAGCAATCAATTTATCAGAACGGTCTATTGCGCCACTCTTTTCAATGAACTATGTCGATGCAGTTTTACGCCTCTATACATCGACCTTTGATACAAGTTCGTTGCTTGAATTAGCTTGACTCAGTTGTTTTTTCTCTTTATTAAAATTACTGCCTACCTTCTCCCCTTTATGAGGAGACTGCATTGTTGTTGCCATATTAGGTCTTTTAGATACGAGTGCTTTCTGTACAAACATCTCTAACTAAATAAAATAGGTTTCTCTTCATTCTGTGTATCCTAGATTTTGAAAAAGGGATAAATCGTAAAATTTATGTTATGTATTGAGTAACGATAGCTTGTCGAAGTCAAAGACGATATTGTCTGCAACACTGATATTAATGTATAGCTCACGACGAATCGACTCCCTGCACCGCTCGCCAGTTAGGACGTAAACGACTTTTCAAGCCTATCGAAATTTTATGTAAATAAGTAAAAAAAGTTTGCCCACTATATGTTTGCGAGAACTTCGACAGCTATAAGTCTAATCCTCTATATTATATGTCAAGCAAACTAGTTAAAAATGGTACATCAATACGAAATCATTACACGTTTTGATTACCCATTATACGTTCAGTGAGAATAGTTCCTGAAATCACAGTTTCCTTCGAAAAATACAGAAATATTACATAATACAGGAGTATTTGGCCTATATTTAATTAGTTCGTATTGCGATCATTTAGGAATATCTACGTTGCTGTTGGTCATACTGAGCCCCATCGTCAGGCTATGTCATCCTAGGATGGCTGCACTGCAACCAACCAAGAACCTTTCGAAATGTCTTTTTATCATGTTACTATTGCTGCTTGCTAAAACTGTTATCTCTACGTCTACAATCTGCGTTTGACGTTACAGTGAACGGTACATTATCTCTAATGAGATGGCTCGAAAAGTTTACGTCTTAACAAATAAAATCTCACTTCTGCCAGCCATCTTTTTGTACTGCTACTAACAATTTTGCCTCACCGGATTGTTAAACAATTCCTTTAGGACGCACATTTCTAATTGCATTATAATCAGGACTACTAGCAGTGCTTGGCATATATTTGATTGATTCACTGAATTTGGGTATGAGGGTCCCAAGAGAGTTCTCGACTTTTCGTCGGAGACGTTACTGCATTGATGTAGTATCCCTCATGTAACAAGTACGAACGAAAGAACGCAAGAATGTAAATAATAGCTTTATTCTTGATAAAAAGTATCCGTATCCAGATGTCTGAGATCTGATGTATTTGTTAGGTCTGCTGCTAGATTAAATGATGATCTTGCGCGCGCGCGCGCGCGCGCGGGGTTTTTTAAAAAGATTAAGTTTTAGCTTAAACGCCAAATGCGTATCTTCTATATTGCCATCAGATATTTGCCGATAAATTTTATCCTAAGTTAAACTGTTATGAGTAAAACAAGACAGTGTTGGTGTAAATAGATATGCATAAAATCATACAGACAGAGCCTTATGCAGACGCTTTTGGTATGTTCTACATACATGAAAAATTAGACAAATTAATTCTATGGTCTGTGAATATGTGGAACGTCTCCGCTTTGCTATATATATATATATATATATATATATATATATATACACACCTCACCTGAGAAGATTTTCAATCAGGGCTCAATTGTCTGAAGGCAAACAGAACATCAGCACTCTTGCTAAAGATTGTGAGCACTATCGAACTCCAAACGGTCTGCTCACGGTGGTCGTGCCCATTCATTGTAAATTACGACACAACATATACAAAAGCCTAAAGTATTTTTGTAAGGGCCTTTTTCGGTGCAAGCATAATCACATTCTAAATTCATAGACTCTATAATTAATGATAACCAAATAGTAATTAATTATTTGGGTCTAAAGAGTCATTTTGATTCTGTATCAAGGCTGGCCATGGCTTGCACACTCTGCACTATGATAGAGATCTATTTTAATTCATATATTTCAGAAAGTAAAGTGTTATAACATACTGTTTTTCAGTGTGATTCATTTGATACTAGACTGAGAGTTACCTACCAAGAGGGAGGGTCGGCAAACGACTAAACTCCAAGATCAAACTCTAATACTTTTTAATCAGCATTGGCCCAATCTGTACTGAAACTGAGAAGCGGGCCGCATTTGTTCTCCAAACCTTAGCTCAGTATCTTCAGTAAAAGCAGATTGACTTTTCAACTTCTTAAATGTATTAAATCCTAGAGAAAATTTCTAGGCAGTAAATAGCGTCTACTGCAAAACTCAAGCATCAAACAGTTCTCCTTCAGCAGTTGTGACGCTATGGCGTTAAATGAGTCCGATCATTTCGTTGTTCACAAGTCCGAAACAGATTAAAGATTCGCACTATGGCAGGGGCAAACGCCTCTTTTATTTGGACGGCAGCATTCCTATTAAGCACTTTGCCTGTCTTCCAACCAGTAATGGCTCGACGGGCCATCAGCTCGAGCTAGTCTCAAACATGTAATTAGATAATACGTCAATCTTCGTCACCAGGGCGGGAGTCCGACAGATGTACTCGGATGTTCTACGACTCATGTCCCAGCGGGACGCTGCCTTAAGGAGTGATTCTGAACGAAGAGTGCACAAAGCTATGTAGGCAGGAAGACAAGCCTGAGCGTATACAATACAGGCGTTGCCTTAGTTCCTGTCGAATGAATACTAGGACAAGTGCTACGTTCGGACAGCACCAATTGTTTGTATTATTTTCGGTGCTAACTAACTAACTAACAATCACAACAACAAAAATTTGTAGCATTAGATACTAGACTAACTTTAATTGTTGTTACGTGTTTATTTTTGTATTTCGTGTGTAATTTTTTGTTGTTCCTTCTACAGGACGTTTGAGTGATAGAAACGCACAATGCGTTTGGAAAAGGCACCGAATGGATTGCAAGGCGAACACAGGAACGCCATTTACTTGACCCTCAGCGTTGAGGAACGTCGCAATCGAATGGACTAGGCACATCTTCTGCATCCGCTACTAGCGGGAGCCAATTCGTCAGCGATATATAAGTCATCAGGCCAAATTTAACGATTACTGAAGCGTTGCTCTAATTAGGCCTGAGCCATGCGAGTTATTTCCTATTAGCCGCTTCACCATAATGGGGGTGTACAGCATAAAATTCAGTAACAGCAGGGCACTTGTTGTGCATTATGAGGTACTAGACATTAACATGCTATAGTATTACGATAAATGCATTATAGCAGCCGCGCCCTAGAGCTATTAACTGAACCTGTAAGCATTTCATAGCCTCTTATGGGGTTGAACTTCAGCATTTAGTAAATGAGTATAAGGTCGTAGAAGCCTTCGTATGACTACTAGTGTCAATGTGGTACCCAAGCTTGCTGCGTTCGAAGTTACGCTTTCATCTTCTGAAGCCGGGTGTCTACGGCGGCCGTTAAAATTTATATAGTTGTGTATTGATTATTTCGTTGAATGGAAAACTTTCAAAAATGATCTGGGCTTTTACCATTACCTAGTAGTAACCTTTAGTAGCGTTCTGTCTTCTGATTTTATATAGGTCAGCGAGCTTTCGAGGACATCAATCCCAGAAGCGCTACTTGAAGTACCGAGCTATGATGTAACAGTGTTTTAATGTTGCCAGTAAATCGCTCTATTTGCTGAAGTGGCTGAGCAGAACCAGCCTGATGCCGAACCATTTCCTTGCATCGAATATACAACGTCACAATTAGGATGGGAGTACATGATGACATGCAATCATAGCATTTCGATGGGTCTGTTGAAAACGCTCGGTAGACGGAGACACTATAGAGTCTAACTAGAGAATGACCATCTAGTATTCATGGCTGTCGAACAACGTGAGCTAACTTACCACTCCGAACAAAAAAGGCGGGCTTATTATTCACAGTTTTTGTCTCCCAGCCAATAAGACACAAGTACTAAAGGAAACAGGTTCGTTATGTCCTATGTTTTTTTTGAAGCTATTAACTTTCTGTTAGACCTCTTGACGGATTGTTCATTACATCTGTACTCTTGTCTTTTGTAGCTTCTAATTTTTCTATCATCCTTTATCAAAAAAAAAATGTACGATCTCTCAAGAGAAGTGCTTGAATACTAAATGGTAAGCTCGAAACAAAATAGAACGGGAACAGTGAATATATAACGCAGACGAAGCGTATCGAAGAGTGGGGAAACCCGAAAAAATTAAGTAGAATTATTCGCGAATTGCGCCTTCCTTTGCTATCGGTGTTTCGGGACACATAAAAAATCTGCTGTATCAAAAAGTATTATTAAAAAAAAACAGGACCAGCCCGGTGAGGGCGTAAAGAACGGCCTTTTTTAATTCAAGGACAGCTAAACTATTTAAGGGAAACCTCAACGCACTGAAGTCATCTTTGCAGAAGTTACCAGTATTAACGGGCTTGAGCCATAACATCGTGGCTCTATGCTTCATAAAGCGAAGCGCAATTGTATTCGAAGACTAAAATGAGCGATGCTAGCACGTTTTTAGTCTTAGAGAGTGGGTATAGGTACATACGTTAAGGATGGAACGAAACAGAATAATTATCACAAATACTGTTTTTTATTACAACGCATTGTTCGCTCAGATTGTTGTCCTTTGAAAAGACGAAGAAAACTGTAACATTTTTACAGGTAGCATCCATTAGGCATATCCCAGGGTTCATGGGACCTTAAACATAACATGTTACACAATAAATAATTAGGGCTTAAAAGCTCACTTTATTTACTAGGCCTCTCGACAGTAGAATTAGGGTCATCTGTAACTGGCAAACGACAAAAACAGAAACGACTGTGTCTCTACCAGTATAACTTAATGAGATAACGTCGACAAGTACTACAGTTCAAAATATAATGAAGGTAATCAGAAGCGAAAAACGGTTTTCAAAATTACCAACCGTTAACCTTCTGCACGGTTTTGATGATCGTCGAGATTTTCACTCTATATGTAGAGCTTCCACATTAAGCGAACTATTAAACGAAAACCGCATTATGACTCTTAAAAGCTTTCAATTTAAAGAAATACACATGCTACGTAAAAATACCCGGTAAGCGATGGTTCGAACTCGTACAGGTACTTGAACGGATACATGTTGATGCATATTCCGGATAGTTTTCAGTATATGCTAGAAAGGATGAGATATTAACAGAACAGCTTCGAAAAAAAAAAGACCGAAATAACAATTGGTTCGTGACTTTTTAAAAGTCATGAGACAGTTTTTATTTTGTTCGTCATCACGATGTGAAGACAAATATTAAACGAGAGAAGTCGTTAGCTAGAGACTTCAGTAGATATTACACAAGCATGTATACGGCTGGGATAATTTTGGAGAGGATTGGTCCACTGAGGTACAGGGCCGAAATAGGTAATCCAAAGGGTATACCTCACGTTAGTCGATTGAAGCATCGAGAAGATTTACCTTTACTGCATAGACAGAAAAAATAATAAACCGTGCCTTTAGACATCACTAGAAATACTCAATCTGAACAAGACCCACTTTTTAGGAGTTTTACCAGCATCACGACAGAGTTCGATAGACTAATCGTGACAGGAATCAACAAACTACGCAACTACACGGACCTCAACATCTGAAGTAAAGGTCAATCAATGGTGGGCTCAATGATAAGACGGCGGGCGACAAGTCTTTTCTGTACGTCTGATTCCTTACTATCAGTAAATATTTTTAGATACGTCAAAAGGCACCAGAAAAGCCCGCTTCAAAGAAACATGTCCTTATCTATGTATGAACGCATCTAATGTTCAGCTCGATTCACGGTAAAGATTCAACTATGACCATATACAACATAAATTTTAGTCTCGTAGCCTAAGTTTGCTAACTGGCGAAAAGTCAGTTAGAATAGGTTACTTCAGACAAAATAACATATAAGATATTTTCAGAGCGGATCAATTCGTCAATGAAAAATTACTCACAGATTCCTTGGAGTAATTTATAAAAAAAAAAAAAAAAAAGAAAGAAAAAGTTATTTTCAACTTCTTCGAGTGCCATTCCAACTTGACCGAAAGTTGATTTCTACTCGTCCTTTTATTTAGTTCGATCGTCCACTAGAGGTTTTATTCAGAACTAAATAGTACAATAAGCGTAATGTTCTTTTTGATTGCTTAGTACTGGTTATACATCAGTCATACAGTGTTATTTTGTAGAAGTATTGCGCCCGTGGATAGGTAAACAGCTGGAAATATTTTCAATGCCAATAAAAGACGGTGCCGTAATTTAAAAGACTAGAGCGTAAGTCGAACAGCTACGAGATGACGTAAAGGCCGCCTGTAGTACAGTACAAGAGGAGCACTATAAGCTTTTTCGGTCAAGGCCGCCAACTTAACCTGCTTTCAAGTACTACTTTATGAGAAGATCGACTGCGTTAGATATTAGAGTGTAGCCCCGTTTCTTTGCGCTTAACTAGCATGGCCATCGTACTTTACCTGAATGCAAAAAAGTTCATTCGCTGTTGAGTACTCATACTTAAGGAAGAAAATAGGCAATGCCTGCGGAGGTATCCAGATAAATGAATCGGATAAAACTATAGCCCCAAGCTGCACCGTGCTAAAGGGCTAGGCCGGATGTCACGATCTAAGCAAGATGCGTAGCGCAATGGCAAGTGGTAGGGAATCATTCTGATGACAAATAGATCAGCAAACGTTGCATAGTTCCACACAATAGCCACACGTGATAAGATACAACGCCATATAAAAATCGTGTCGTATTATATTTGTCTTATTTGTACTATATTTGTTTTGTCGTATAAGTTTTATACGCTTGGGCACACCTTGTTACGAATGCTACAGTGACATCTACATTTGTACGTCTGAACACATCGACTGTGTTGTTTTAGTTCGACATATGCTGTAAATACGTCGGTTACTTTTTATTGCATTACAAATAGATGATCCATGCTGTCACTACCAAAAGCCTCATCCGTTTACTTTTATATTAACGGCCGTTGCTACCTGCTTCGAAAGAGTTGGAGTAGAGTATTGTAGTACTTCAGAAAAGAACCCGTCAAGAACTTCCTCCTCCTCCTATATATATCCGCCATCACCTATACATTAGTATGATGAAAACGTGTACGGTGAATTCGCTTGTCTCGCTTATGTTTGCATGGGTGACCGACGACGAGAAAATTGGATAGGCTTGAAAGGTATGTCTTCGAGCACTGTCTGAAGGGTTCGTGAGCAGAAAGGTGAACGACAGCTCGTTCATTTCCAAATCACACCTCATCAACAGGGAGCCGCCGCTTCCACGGTGTCGAGAACAGATCATTCTGATCTAGCTCGCTTTTCAGGAGATTGTCTTTATATATAAACGTAATGTCTTCGCTGAACACAACAGCAACTGTCATACCTCAGATATGACACACGGTTGGAGCTTTGCTTGATAAAAACTTCTTCCATACACACGCATTTAGTCGTATGAAGGGATTTTATATGTGTATCTGTGAAAAGATGCGCAGTCGATAACTATTTTTAGCCAAAAAAAACGCACCACCATTATTCCACCGTAATCATTCTATTCATATCCTAAGAAATACACGAATCCATCAAAACATAGTGTAAGTTCCGTATTCACAAGCTAGAATGGCTTCGAGAAAAAACTAGTGCACCCTCAAGCGATCGAGCCTATTCAGCTTCAGTCATGGAACTCCTTTTCCGAACTCCTCCTACATTCGGAAGCCCTATTCCAATCAAGCCTAACTGTAGACGAGCTCGAAATTCTATTACCTTAATATTAGAATTACACGTGAATGTGCTATATAGTTATTTCGAATAACCCCTAAGAAAGCAATTAGTACGCGACTCGGACAATCTTAGGTAATTTAGGTTATGCTTTCCCCGCAACCATCCGCTTTGAAACGTAGGAACGAATCGGTAGCACAAATCCTTTCCTATATAATTTAGTCGGCGAAAGGTAATGATTTAAATTAGCCGGCTCGTTCCACCGCAAAGGTGGCCTTCCTTAATCGTTCTATGGCTAACAGATTGCGTTGGTAGTGAATCTGCAACGAAGCATGAATATTCTTCCCGCCACTTGGAGCAACGACATGACCTGATCTAGACACGGTCGTCAGCACTTCCATTTTCCTGCCGATTTCAACCAGGTCCTCTCAATCACAGGAGTGTGTCAAATCTAGCGGAAATAGTTGCGGTATGCAATTGGCCTGCCGTTACCTGACTTTTCTTCGTAGGGTAAGCTGGCCTAGGCATCTTGGCGTTTTTGCCTAACCACATTAGCTTTTCTTTGGCAGCCGATGACACTCTAACGCCCATGCAGCACACGTATCGGAGCTCCGCTCAGGAGACACACACTGCCGATGCACTCGAGGACGGTAGTATCTAACCACAAGGCTTACGACTGTCATAAGCATGATTTTATTATAGACTTATGCTCGCGTTCTTTTTAACGTTTGTAAATTCCGTCGTGGTGAAAAATTGACAGTCTATATATTTATACGTGCGTTTGATTAATAATAAATGAATGATACGTTCTGTGGAAGCTTTACCACAATACTGTGAGAAGGTTAACGCTTGCTCGGGCAAACTAGTCGACTATCTCGATGAATTTTGTTTTTTTTTTTTTCATAACAGCAAACGTTTTACTATCTGATAATTGCAAGAGACGAACCTATGCGCTGTTATTCCGCTGAGGTCGCTTGTTAGACCCGCAACTAGCTTTATTATGTTCGAAACGAGACACTGAATTCAAATTCTAACCGCGTAACACTGCTTCGTAACAAAACTGTGAAATATGTTTGAGTTCGTTTGGATAGAAGGCCACAGTTTGTAAGCGGCAATCAAGGATGGTCGGGAGCATCTCAAGAGAAACGAAAGATCACTTTCAAATGCTCATATGTTTCCTTCGTGCTACGCAACACTTCAGCTTTAAATTAAGATTGCGAAAACCGGAAGAGCAATAGCTCGTCCGAGCGTTGTCCGGAAAGAAAGCATCGATTTGCGAATGGCAAATGTCGAAATTAAACTTCGCTCAGGTTGTCTCAATACCCAACACAGGTATACGCATTTGGTATGAAAGTTTACACACCTTATAAAATAGTCTAAGAACGCGATAACGTGGAAAATGAATGGTATAGTTCATAGATTTGAAACAAGTTTGGTCCTCTAACGAGCGTATCGAAACTAACATTGCAATATGAGAATAATATGGCAAAGAACAGCCAAGTAATAACGGCAATAGTGAAGGAATGTATAATAGTGTTTCTATTGTTGTCACTTTGTTACTGTTTGTACAGCGTTACATTTATAGCATTTCTAAGGGCGAAAGCATCATTTTCTGAAGCCAAAGCTTCATGTAAGCTGTGTCCTAAAGTCATTT